ATGTGATTTTACAAAACAGTTTCCTGGCTTGAATTAAACTCCGGTGCCTTGAGGATATACTTCCATAAGTTTGTGGCACAATTTAGGATATTTGGTCTTATCTGTCTGTCTCTCAGCAGGCCTGGGATCCTAATATAAAAACTATCTATGAAACTGACTTTCTGGACTCAAAAGGAGTAACTCTGATTCCCAAATGCCTTGGGGGCAAAGGCTGTTTGCTATTTTAAATCCTGCAGCTTCTTCCTGTTCTTCTGTTCTAGTGACCACCAACTGTATGCCTGGGACAGTTGTTCCCTCCCTGATTCACTCACAATCCTGCAACTGCCAGAATTCCTGGTCATTGTGCTGGTTGTGGAGTCTGGGAGATGTAGTCCAAAAAATCTGGACAGCATCCAAATGGGGGAAGTTATAGTCTTAACACATTTGGGAAAGCATTTGACTAGGGATGGCTGGATTTTTAAATTCTGTTAGGAACTTTGGTTTCAGTAACCAAGAATCTTTTTCCCCCTTGTAATTAAGTTGTCCTGGTCATATTTACATGGACAGCAGGCTCGGACTATAAAAATAAATAAATAAATAACCACCAGGCTGTGCTGATATATTTTTGAATATTTCCTCATATTAAAAACCAGCAACATCTCCCACCCTCCAAATATTCTGATAACAAGTTCTAATCTAGGCTATATTCTCATTCACTCCGCTCTTAGTTTTTTATTTGCATATATGTATAAAAGTATGTGTATATATTATATGTATGTAATAGCTGGAGCTTTTTCCTCCTGAAGATAGAATAGAAGATCCTAAGTTAGACCTAGATAACTTAGAACACCTTTGCTGCGTACAGGGAATTTTTGCTACCCAAATCTAGTAGCTTTACCCAAATTATAGAAAAGGAAAGGACAGTCTACCTGCAGTCTTTGTATGGAAAATGAGCAGTTGTTGAAGTTGTAGAAGCCCCTAGTGCACTTTCTTGTTTACTAGCAGGCCAGAGCCCTGGTTTTCTTCAGTTAATGGCTGTGATGAGAAACTAGCCATCTCCAGAGGAATTTTCTAATTTCTCTGAGTGATCTTACCCAAGATTGATGGTTTTCTGTTGCCAGTGGCAACCCCAGAACTGAAAAGCTTTCCCATCTACTGCTGTTACGGTGATGAAATTGTATGCGTTTGAAGGGGAGGAGCATTTAACTCTTTGCCCTTGCTGTATTCACATTAGAACAAAGTCCTTTTTTCCCCTTGCCATGGCCCCATCAGCTATGCAGGTCTACATCTCATGATGAAAGTCATATCTAGTGGCACCTGAGTGCTTGGATCATGATCACACAGCCATAGAGGTGATGCATGGCTGGGACTTTGAGGGTTGATCATATGTCCATTTTTTCCAATATTGCCATAACTTTGGTTGTTGAACGAATGGATGTAAGCGGAGAACTACTTCTACTAAAGAGATCAATGTGAAGGAGAAGAGAAGAATTGTTTTCTGCCTTCTGACTGGATGTCTGCAAAGTCAGGGCTTTCAGTCATGAATTGTTAAGCAAGTTATAGTGGCTTGGCTCTCAAAGTAAAACAAAATGATTGGATTTATAATCAGCTGAGCAAAAAGAAAATTGCCTGATGGTTATATGTGAACCAGGCTGTGGGCATTCCTACCGTGCTGTAATATACTCGGCATTATGACTAATCTTCCACTGGTTCACTGTGAGGGCAAAGGTAACTCTAAAAAACATTTGCTTTGGAACTGAGCCATTTAAAAATGGTCTTGCATCCCAATCTTTGCTCTTTGCACCACACCTTGTGAATCAGCTAAGTGGCCAGTTTCAAAGTTGTCACCTTATGGCAAACTGCGATCCATCCTGAATGATAATGGGCTGTACAGAAACTGAAACCTACTCAATGAATTAGGTACCTGCTCCATCAATGGCAGCTGTACGTCAAATCCCAGGATGTGAATCATGTTAGGATTTCCTGGCTTCAAGGAAATGGGTGTCCTTGTGTTAGTGCAACCTCAAGTGAGGCTTGGTTTATGAGTTTAAGACTTTGGAAGCAGTATCCTAAAAGCTTTCTTGTTGGACGTGCCTAAATAAATAGCATTTACTGCTGAAAGGTTTGTGAATTTCAGATGCAGAGCGGGTAAGTTTTCTTAAGCGAGAATTCTACTTGGCCAGATTTAAGCTTGTAAATTTTCACAAAGCTTGTCCTGGGAAATGATTGGCCCATGAGGTGAAATAGCAGACGTGTACTGTAATCGATTATCTGTAAGCTTATTTTTTGCCCAGTGGGGGGCTTTGTCTGATAAAGTTCTTAGTATGGAAAGTGTGAGATCCATTTTGGCTTGTGGCCTCTTTCATGCTGTATCAAAGCATATTACTTCCTTTACTTATATATTTCAGTGTGAGGTCCCTTCCTAAACTGAAGCTGGACTCAAGAAAATACAGGTAGTCCTCAACTTACAACAGTTCATTTAGTGACAGTTCAAAAGTTACACTGGCACTGAAAAATGCAGCCTTGGAGTGGGTACAGTGGGCTTCTAGCTAAGGTAGATCTGCCTCATGAGCTAGAAGGAAATGGGCTTTTAGCCAAGTTTGCAGTAGTGGCTGTGATCAGCTGATGCTGAATCAGCTGGTGAAGCTGTTCCACCTGTTCTCCTTCCCTGCTCTCTTACTCAGGGATGTCCCGTCCCTCCCAGCCAGCTTACTGGCAGGAGCTAACAGGTAGATCCTGATCCTGATCCTGGTGGCCTCTTGAGAAAGTAGCCAATAGAGCAGGTGAATGTCAGCTCTAGCCATTTTTCCCCCCACAGAGTAATAAATTACGATTTGCTTTGTGATACTCAGTCAAGAGTATCAGAGACTCCGGGGGATAAAATTTCACTGTTCTCAAAAGAAGAAAAAGAATCCATGAGTCTGTTTTCTGATCTACTTTCTGACTTATTTGCAAACCCACACCTTTTCCAAACTAAACAGGTGAAACTAAAGGTGAAATTTGACGTTCTGACTCTTTCTTCACTTGTACTTAGATACTGGATACAGTATTCCTAAGCACTTTTATTACATTGTAGCTATAGCTCTGTAACTTTTCTTCATCTAGGATGACTACCTGTTAAAAATCCTACCAGGTATATATTCAGTTGTTACAGGTGATATTACAACAGCTGTTGTTTCTAACTGTATTTATGATTTGATGGAATGTGTTTGTGTGTCAATCTCATTTGTGTGAGACTGGTTTTTTAGGCTTAGTTTTTCCCCCTTCCCCATCCCCTTTAATATTGATCATATAATCCTAAGAGTAGATTGCCTAAGTCAGGGATCTTCAAACGTGGCCCTTTTATGACTCATGGACTTCAACTCCCAGAATTCCTCAGCCAGCATGCCTGGCTGAGGAATTCTGGGTTGAAGTCCATGAGTCATAAAAGGGCCACGTTTGAAGATCCCTGGCCTAATTAATTATCTGGCCATTCTCTTTGCTGCTCTATTTCTCCTCTATCTTCTTCTTGCTATATGGAAAATATTCTAAATAAGAATGATAAACTGTTGCAGATGGAGCTTCTGCGAGGAAGATGAAGATGGGGAAAAACTCCCCAGCTCCAAATCTCAGACGTTTCCAAGTCACCTGTATCTAGGAATGTTGGGCCAGCATTCGCACATGTATCTTTGTGTATGCCAGAAGCCTTGTTGGGCCTGAACAAATTGACTTTAATCTTTTCCTTGCTGTATCCATCCTGTAAAATATATTGATCAGTGATTTCTTGGTTATCAGTCTGAGGAACAGAATGTTTTATTTGTATCGCTGTCACTCAGAGGACTGCGTGGTTCATCCCTCTTAATAAGAGAGTTGGGAAAAGCAGCACCTTCCTTTCTTTCAATGCTGTTGATCTCTTTATGGTTTTATAATGGAGAAAGAAGTTTTGGAATGTGAGGCAAGTTTTCCTATTTAGTGGGTAGGAACCCAACCCTCGTCTCCCTCTATCAAAATCTGATGTACTCCCGGACACAGTAAAGGAATAAAAGTTTGCCAGGGATGGAATCTAACCACGTATCCAAAGCTCACTGTAAGCGTGCTGGTCTATGACCACAATAAACTGAAATGGATTTTTTTTTTAGAAAACCTCAACAGAATATTTAAGAATACTGAAAGTGGGCCTAGAAGCATATATTTCGAAAATGCACATTGTACAGTACGTGAACACACACATTTGGAAAGTACTATTCACTAAGTAGATGCTTTGGTCTCATTCATGGGCTGAGAGTGCTAGGTGCAGCATTGAGCAAAGTTGCAGCTTTCTGTCCGATTCCCATTCACTCCAGGCTCAGAAGAGCAAAGAAATCAACTTCCATTAAAAAAACAACAACAACCCTCACTGGGTTCTACAGCTGGAAGGCTACACAGTTTCCTCTTCTTCATACGCAGTTAGGCCAGAAAGAGCCTTCTGCAGAATTCTCTTGCTCTAACTCTCTGTAACCCAGTAGACAAATCAGTGGAGACAAGGGAAGATAAAGTAGACACTGAAAGGTGTGGAGAACAATACAGCAACACACCTGCAGCTCTTCCTCCTCTCTGATGCCAGTTACTTATCACTGTATATGAAGCCCAAGCTCCAGTGAAGGGTGCAATCTATATTATTTCCCCTCTTTATTCATATAGCAAGCTTCCCTTTGATCTCTGACAGATGTATCAAGCTATCGTTCTCATCATCCTAGCCAGGGGAAAGATGGAAATTGCAGCCCAAGATAGCTGGAGGCCCTCAGAAAGGAAAAAAAAATAAATATGTGGAAGGAAGTGAGATTGAGAACTGATAATCTGCCCTGGCAACCTGTTGTGTTTCAGAGGGACTTGAATCTAGTTATTCTCTGGCCAGATCCAATGTTCTCATCTCTGATTGCATCTCACTGAACTGGGGCTAAAGCAGGGGCCAAAGCTAATGGAGCATTCAAGGTAGCTAGACATGGGCACCACATTTCTAGGGAGATATATTCAGCATGACTGCTTGTTTCTCTCTCTTACAGAACACATCCCCGCTGAACTGCGCGAGCCCTTTTATACAGACCAATATGAGCAGGAGCATATGAAGCCTCCTCTCATCCGCCTGCTGCTGTCCTCCGATGTCTACTGCCGTGCCTGGTGCCATGTCATGCCTTCAGGCCCGGATGGTGCCCTTCCCCCAAAGGATAATGCTGCCTTGCTGCAACTTTTGGGCCACCGGGGCTTGGTCCCCACCTTTCAGGACAAGCCTGTTAAGGAAGCTGATCTGCATCACAAACCAATCAAGCTGGTAAGTCTGGAGGCAAGGAGGTGGCTGTGCTGCTAAAGGCAACCTTGATCTGGTGCTGCAGGAGGGGAGACTGTCTTTCATTCCCAATTGTGCAGTGAGATGAATGAACGAGTGGTTCTCCAGATCTTTAGTTGGAGCAGGTAGTAGAGTACCAACTCAGAATTCCTTGAAGGGTTAATTCTGCTAATTTACTCAGATCTCTTGGGTTATCCATGGACGGAAACTCAGAAATCTTGATTAGCTTGCTTTTATTTTGCTTAGTTCTGCCACTCCTCTGCCCACCACTACATCATCATAAAGAAAGAAGCTGCACTTTTTTTATTAAATACATATGTTGAATTTTGAATAAGGTTGTCCTATACAGGTGGGACATAACATCTGGGCATTTAAGCCTTTTATCTGTGATGTTGATGACAATGCCTCCCAAATGGAGCATCTGCCAAATCATGCATGCAGGAAGAGGAGATGGTTTTGTGTAAGGCCCCCTCTCAAAGGCATTCTGGTAGATGTCCTGCAGAAGTGTAGGGCTACAACTCCCATCAGTTGCAGCCAGTAACTGAAAGGCCCTAGCTTGTGAAAAGGATGGAGACGAAAAGTTTTAAGTGAACTATTCTTCCTTCTATAGGCATGAAACCTCCCAGCAGCATCCTGGATGAGGGACTAGGTAAAGTCCCCAAGGATGCCAGGCTGGATCCCAAATCTCCCTCCTTACTGTGTTTCCCCTGTCTGCTGAATACCAGGAGTGTCCCATGTGGTGCCTCAGCTTCAGGGTGGGGCCTTTGCAGGCTTAGATCTCAGCCACCCCGTGGGAACCCCTTCCCTCCTCTTTTTCTGGGTGGGAACATTGAGGTGTAGCTAGAGCCACCCCAGAAGTAATTCTTCCCCCCCCCCAGGACTAAAAGTACCTGTTGGGATTGAGGATCCTGCTCCAGCTCCCTGTAGCCACCCTATTTCAAAGGCTGATATACCTAAGGGCTAAGATGGGTGATGAACAGCTACAGTTTTGATGGGTTAGAGTTGACAGATGTGTGCATCCTCATTTTGGAAGGATAAATCAAACGCCTCTGTTTAATAAGAAAATATATGAGAATTCAGGTTTTGTTTAATGTGGGCACCATTCTGGCAATTCCCATTATGGCTAGAATGTGTAGAGAAAATACAAGAGGGAATAAATGTCTTTTTCTTCTTCTATTGCTGCCCAAATCGGGAGCGGAGGAGAAATGGCTCTATCTCTTTTCTATCATTAGAAGAGTGGTGGGGATTCTCTCTCTCCCTTTTCCTTTCTAATGATATCTGTGGACACAAGTCCCAAAGGTGCTTTTCTAAAAGGCAATTGGATTTTCTTGTGTGTGTGTTTTTTCCCCATTGAAATGTTTCACTTCTCATCCAAGAAGCTTATTCAGTTCTTTGCCTTTTGAAAAAGAAAAAAAAACACCTTTGGGACAACCATGACCTGGATTTATTCAGAATCTCCCTAAGACGTGTGGACACTTTTTTTTTTTTTTTTTACAAAATAAAAGGAAGTAGATATGTCCACAGCAGTGGAAGGCATCTGTAGAAGTTACAAGATGTTCAGGACTTGATTCTGGAAAAGTTGGAAGCCCTGTAGATTGCTAAAATTCTCTTCTTTGGCCTGATCACTGATGACCAAGTATCACCAAAAGAGTGGCTTCTCCCAAGTTTTCTGGTCAATGCTAGGACGTTTGAATTAAACCTTGAACCCTGATAAACTTACTAACATCTTTAGGAATGGGGATTTCTGTTCACTGCCTCCACGTGCCAGCAGTTATAATTCTTCTGGCTGGGACTCAATATGTGGAAGAGACAAGGATCACTCCAGCTGTTGAGGTTCTATCAGCAGATGTCTAGTAGGACTGGTTAGCACTGAGCTGATCTGACAGACTGATAATTGATTCTGCTTTGGGGTTTTTATCAAGACTGGAAGGAGGGATGGGAACTGCAATTAGCTGCTGAGGGATGATCTTCTTCCTTTGCTCTCTTTTGTGAAATACGCTAGCAGTGGAGGAAGTTTGAAGAAATTACGGTGTTTTAATTCTGGTGAGATCTTGGGAAAGTTCTCTCTCTCTCTCTCCAATACTTTGCTTTGAATTTGATTCCGAATAAATGCTGTGGAAAGCAAAAGCAAGTCAATACAAATTGTTACTCATTAATGCAGCTGTGTCTTTTTCCCCCAGCATTATGAGGCTTGTGTGTCCTGCGATTCTGGAATCCTCTTCAAAGATGGGTTAACAAAGCTGTGGATCAGCAGCTCTTTGAAGGGAATCACATTGGCTCATTGCCAGCAAAATGTGTCATAAAAGATGTCACTTGAGAGTTGAAAATGGCCATTATTCTACTTCCCTGGCTTGTGTGACACAGTTTTCGTGCATTTATCCTGTCTTATCATGTATTCAGACCTGTAGATCTTGGCTTGGGCTAGGTTTGTGCCTTTTCCTTGCGGGGAGAGAAACCCAATGTTTGGAGCAAAGGAGGAGTAACTGGGAAGCAGAGTAGCCTTTTGCTGTGCATGTTATCTTGCATCCAATCTCTTGAGGTTTGTTAAAAAACAGCTTTGCCATGAAAAAAAAAAGAACTTGTTTTCAGGTTTTCCTTCAGGCTTAAGGTGTTCCTTTTCTGCTTTCTTCCTCCTTCCAATTAACTCTCTCCCGGGGTTTATTAATTACCTTGTGAATTTCTTTTTTGCTGCTGAAGTTCTTTTTGCTGTAGTATTTAACAACTTAGGAAAGTCCGAGTGCGGTATAAACGTATTTAGAGATTCAATATAACCCTTATTTGTGTTTACTGAATATGAACCAGCTCAACCTCAGGACCAACACAGCCCCTCAAAGCCGTATCAGAAGTTGGTTTTTTTTGCATAGTAATTTTTATTGAGATACAAGGGAGATGCTATGAATTTGATTTTTTTTTTCTCCTTGTCTTACCTACTTTGTTCTGGCTCTACTCCCATTTTAGAGTGTTGTCATTAGCATATAACTCAAAGTTCAAGTGCTGGGTTTTTTTCTTTTTTTGGCTCAGAAAAGATTACAAAGTTCTGGCTTCTAAGATCTAGTTGCTGCCAGGCATCCGCTGAATCCACATTCTCTAGTGGATTAAAATATAAAACCCAAAGGCCTTTCTAATCCAACCAGAGGCCTCTGGAATCTATAAGATGGACAAGAATGGATAATATTCTCTGCTTATTTTCCAAGGAACCAGTAGCCCATAGCACATGGCCTCCAATACTGGAGGTAATATACAGCCATCATGAATAATAACCATCCATTGCCCTGTTTTTCATTAATTTATCAAACCTCTTTTCAGATCCATCCAGGTTTGAGGTCTCACCTTGTATTAGTGAATGGTGTCATCATAAGTGGGAGCCAGACCCATCCAGTCTTTGACTCACAATCTTCTCTTGCACGTTCTTATGAATGAAAGTTCCTGCTATATAAATTGGGTCTTGCTTCTGTTAAAAAGCCCTGGGCCAAAGAAACGAGTCCAGTTCTGTGAGAACTGGGCTTAATCAATAGGCAAAGGATGTTCTGCTGTCAAATAGTTCAGTTCCAAGACTTAACATCCAGGACAACTGAACGTTTTGTGGTCCTTTAATCAACCGAGATCTTCCTTGGGACTGCCTTCTTACTCCTAGAGAACCTGTCTTGATAGGATTTATATTGCTTAAATTCCCAGATTTACTGGCTGGGGCTCTGGTCTGAAACAGAGATAATAGTGAAGAAATATGTACTGGATTTCGTTGTGCAGATCTGCAATCCTCAGAGAGTGGAGTTGTATATATGTTGATTTGGGAAAATGTTTACACAATACTCATCTGGTTTCACAGATGTAAAATTTATATATATATGCCATACATATAGACACACACACATATGTATACACACACACACAGACAAGCATTTGTTCAGAGTCACCCTTACTAGGAGATCGTACTCATTTGATCCATGGTTTGCATCCTAGGACTTAGGTTATGGGATGAAGTCACCCACCAGCTACAAATATAGATTGACTTCTCTTTGAAGAAAACTGTTCAAAGATACAAATAATAATAATAATAATAATAATAATAATAATAATAATAATAATAATAATAATAATAATAATCTTCCCACTTTTAAGACTATGCGCATTCCTATTTTTTTTAGAAAGGTTTTCTTGGAAAATTAGATTTGCAGAGAAGAATGAAGCCTAGGCTTTCCCTATATGCAGAAAATATTTTTGGTGGAAAGCAACAGATTTGGTATGAGCAAGAAAAGCTTTGTCATCTGATTCTGTTGCTAATCTACCGTGTGAACATAGAGTGAACCAGGATCCTGCTATTTTGTTTTTGTTACCCTTTTGCAACTGTAGAAACTCCAGTAGTGCTAAACATAGGCACTGCTGTAGATATAGGTTCTCTGCCTCTCCTTAAGTAAATGCAGTTTATTGAGCCTCTAGTTTCCCTTTTTAAGTTAACACTGAAGGGTGGCTGAGAAATTAGCTCAGTTCAATTTTTAATTTAAGCTTACCTAATTTGCACTTTCTGAACCTCTGTGAATTGGAAGTGTAATTGTATTTGATGTTTGTCTTGTTTTAAATTCTACAGTACAATTCAAATTTAAAATTCATGCAAATCTTCATACTCATTTTTTAAAAATTGTCAACTGATGCAGTAATGAGGAACAAACAAACTTTGGGAAACCGAACCTAAGAGACATTGAACAAGTCGAAACCACTGTAACTGATTAAATTCCTTGAGTCAGTGCTATGGACAAGTTTCCATTTGTTGACGCAATGCTTCTAGGTAGGAATAGGTTTACTGGCAGCAAATTTGTTTAGTCCTTTACATCATGTAGATATTGTAGTGGATATTTTAATGATAGGAGCTATAATATTTGAGAAATGTTGTATTCGTTTACTTTAGAGTTGCAGTGAGCAGCAAAATAAAAATCTGGGAATTATCCCACCAATGATAAGATAAGATAACCTTTATTGTCATTTTTTTTACTGTGGGCACAACGGCACACATCAAAAATGAAATTTAGTTGCCCGCTCTCACATACATGACACACACCTAAACATACTATATACAACACATGTACAGACCCACACCCCTACATATACCTAACAAATAAATATTAAATACTGTCCATCTTGAATATATAACGGAAGGAGGAAGCTTGAATTACAAGGTTAATGCTGCATGGAATGAAACTATGGCTGAATCTGGATGTTCTGCTATGGATACCATGATGCCTCCTCCCAGAAGGTAACAAGGAAAACAGGTCGTGGAGAGGATGTGTAGTGTAGTAGATTACCAGTCTTTCATTTGTTCCCTTATAGTAGAATGCCTTTGGCAATTGGATTATTTGGCTAATGTTCTCACTGAGGCTTTGAAGAGTTGTTACTTCTGGATCAGCAGTTCTTGGATCTGATATTTTGGATCTGATATTTTGTTGAGAGATTTTGTGTTCAAGATTCTGGAGGACTGGCAGATGGCATATGTAGTGGTTTACTCAGGTTTTTCTTAACAGTATTAAAATCTTAAAATGGCCAATCTAGCTTTAGGTAGAGATGGAATTAAAGTGGAAATTAACTTCTTCAAATCAAACAGAAAGAACTGTGTTGTCACCATACTTTTGCCAGGATTTGTGGTCCTTTGCAATTTCTGCCTGATATATTAGTCATATTTGATGTTCTAATAAATTTCCAAGCATTTTTGATGGTCCTTACCTCAAGAGTTAATTTTTATTTATGGTTGGAAAATTCTATTCAGATAATTTTGGACGATTGGCTTAAAACATATGACTTTAAGATGAATAATTCAACATAAGATTATTTTTCAAGTGTATTGGACATACTGGGTAATGTGTGTGTTTTTATCTGATTGTTAGCCGCCCTGAGTCCGTAAGGAGAAGGGCGGGATATAAATGTAATTAATAAATAAATAAATAAATAAATAAATAAATAAATAAAATATGGCAACGATTGGCCTTCAGCCTTTATTGTTGAAAGGTGCAGTACCTTGGAAGAATGAGTCTATTTTCGGATCTGCTGTACATTGACACCCTTTTGGTTTAATATTTTTATGGTGATAAATAGGGTATTTGGAAAAAAGAAATAAGGGTCAAAGATGCGAATGTGTTGTTGAATTATATTCTGAAAATTTGGAACCTATTGAATGATGAAGTATTCTGAAGGCTATTCCTGCTCCAGATTTACATTCAGTTGAAATATGGAAGACCAGTGTGGTAATGAGAGATTAAGCTTGCTTCTGTCTACCCCATCATTGGTACTAGTCCTTGTGTCATTTCATACTCTGGAAGATAGTGCCAGATATGTATGTGACTCCCATTTGTGGAGTAAGGATGGCCTTACGAGTACTGTAGCTTTTCTGATTCCAGTTTTCTTTTTTTTTCTTTTTCCCTGCTTGACTTGTAGGGGGCACACCTGGCATTAATTGACTCTCTGATGTCAGCATTTGCATTGGAAGCCACCAGTTCATTAAATGTTGCATTGGGCATTGAGCCAGCAGCCATCTCTTGGGACCAGAAACTCCTACGCTGGATAGATATGGTATTAAATGTTAATTCATTTACATTTTCTCTCTTTTATCTCCATCCAAGGAGCTTATGCATGGGAGTATCCCATTTTCTGCACACACCAATCCATCTGAGAGAGGCCAGATAGAACAAATTTCAAATCTGCCTCTTTAGCCCAAGTACATGCTACTAATGACATGTGAAATACAATGCTGGGTTAAGTGTGGTTGGATTACTTAGTTCAACTTCTCTACCCAATCCTGTCTAGATTTGTGAGATTAGAATTATTATTTCCCCTCCCCCCAGGCCCCCCATTTCTTCAGCCCAGCCTGGAAGTTGAAGAAGGCTTAGGTTGTGAAGGTTAAGAGCAGAGGAATGAATAGTGGCAAAAGACTGCAGTTCATCTCAAGGATAGAGGAAAGGGGGGAAAATGCAATATTGTACTAAATTATTCTTAGAATATGTCCTCATGAGTAAGATGATGAAAAAATGTGGATGGCCTAAAGCAGGGGTAGGCAACCTTGGCTCTTTTATGACTCATGGACTTTAACTCCCAGAATTCCTGAGCCAGCATGGCTTAGTATGGAAACCTCTCCATTTCTCCTCAGCATGGCTGGCTCAGGAATTCTGGGAATTGAAGTCCACGAGTCATAAAAGAGCCAAGGTTGCCTACCCCTAACCTAAAGTAAGCAAAACCCACAAGGGCCCATGGTTTAGGACCAGAAAAAGGAGAAAAGGGGATGAAGAGGAAAGAAAGCCGCATCTGGCCCAATGTTTTGTGTTGCATATGTTTGCAAATGATTCCTTGTTGCCGCCCTGCAGATAATTCACAAGATACAACAGACTGCGGATCAGGAGTCCTCTCAGCGTTCAGCTCCTGGAACTGATGGCCAGACCCCAGCTTCCTGCAGTGGCCCTAAGGTGTGGGTGCTTTCCTGCTATGGCTATCCTCCTGAGAGGAGCAGGGGAAGGGGAGGGGTGTGAGAGTGGCGTTCAGACTCTGGTTTAACTCGAGGGTGGCAGCAATTAGGGGTGCTGCTGCATTCATTGAAAGAGCTTTCCCCACACTGGCTTTGTTATGTTTACAAGCTGCCCCTTTCCCTCACCATTGCCTTGGAGGATAAGAGTTTGCTTCCTTCCACCCTCCCTCCTCTTGGGAGAAGGCCTCTCTTTCACTTGTAAAGCCAAGGCCACTCTTGATTGGGCTGACTTCCTGTCTCGCCCTGTGGGTGGCCCGCTTGACTGCCAGCAAACGCTGACCATATATTTTTCCCCCCAAGCTGTTCAGTGGGGCTGGCTGGCTCTGCTGGGCTGAACTATTGAGCAGTGGGGAGTAGATGAGGGGCAATCCCGTTTCCATTCCTGGTGGCCTCAGTGCCCCTGTCCCAGCTCCACGGCCTCTTTGGTTGCCTGTGCTGAATACAGTCGAGGTGTGGTATGTGACCGAGCTGTCTTTTTCTGCATCTCTCTCCTCTTCTCCCTCTGGCCTCTCTCCTTCCTCTGCTTCAGTGTCCCACCAGGTGGTACTGGAAACTGGTTCCTGTAAGTGGGTGGCTTTATTTATTATCTCCCTGCTGCCTTGGCTCCTGCGCTGCATGCCAGGGGGACCCAGAGCAAAGGATGCTGGGGGTTTAGGACCTTGGGACAGAAGTCCCTGTGTAGTGCCTAGATAGAGCTTCCCTTGGAGAAGATTTTGGGCGACTTGGTTGGTCTGTTTCGACAGGCAACCAATCTCCTAAACTGAGATGATATGGGGGTAGAGGGAAGGCCTGTGGCAGAGACTCAGAAGGTTCCCATAGGAGACTCCAGCTGCTGGGATGCTGGTATATCCCAGCATCCTTTGTTCTCTAACCCTCCTCCTTCCACTCACAATCTGTACCTGCTTTGGTCTCTCTCTTAGCTCCCTGTGTCCTCCTCTGGGGGCACTGGAGGAACAGGTTATTCATTGCAAATATAGGTGGATTCATATGTGTCTTCATTTTCTGCCTTGATTACACAGCCTTCTTGGGGTTACAGGCATTTGGGTGGGGAGTCTAATGCACTGGTTTCAGAAATCAACAGAAAGCCCACTTGTTATTTATAGGGAGGGGTTAAGAGACAGCCAGAGCAGGGCAGTTCATGCTTGGAGCTGCCAATAGGAACCGCATGCTAGTTACCTGGCATGTCGTTATCCCTTTTCCCCTTTGTGTTGCCTTTTGCCCCCTCCTCCCTTTGCCTGCTGCCCTGCTGTACTTGGTGCAGCTAAATAAAGTCTTAGAGCCATCTTTTTCAAACTTGAAATCTTTTAAGATGTGTGGACTTCAATTCCCAGAATTCCCCAGCCAGCAGTTCTGGGGGTTGAAGTCCACACATCTTAAAAGTTGCTAAGTTTGAAAAACAATGGTGTTAAAGCAGGGGTGTCAAACTCGCCACGTCACGTGACGTGTCGCAATGTATCGTGACTTTCCCCCCAGTGCCGGAGCTGGGGGTGGGCGTGGTTTCGGCATGACGCATCCGGCCCGCGGGCCGGCAGTTTGACACCCCTGGTGTAAAGGATAGTCTCTCCAGGTCTGTTGAGATCCAGTGTGTTGGTATTTAGGAGATGGGGTGATTCAGAAGGCAGAGGGGTTCTCAAGATTTCAAGTGCATGCCGGGAAGCATTCCTCTAGTTCAGGCCTAAGTTAAGTACTGATGGCCCCTCCCCACATCAGGGACCCCTCCCCCAGCCTTGCAAGGCAGCAACCCTTCCCTTCTTTCTTCCTCCTGGTGGGTGCATTGATCAGGCTCTCTCTTTTCTTTGCTATTGCATCCAGCATGCCATCGCTTTTTGTTTGAAGGAGTCGGGGAATAAGCCTCCTGTGGTAATGTATCCATCGGCGTGCTCACCTGCCCGCCCACCTGCACCCCTTTGCCATCCACTTGGGTTGCTGTTCTTGAACTTCTGGCTGTTCCTGCTGCAATGGGTCTGCCCTTTTCCCCCATGCCGCCCCAACCTTCTTGGGGTTTCTCAAGAGGCGAGCTGTCCCCTGCGCCCTCCTACCATTTTTTCAGCTGTTTTTATCTAACAGCTTCCTGTGTTGGGTGCAGATGCACATGGCACTTGAGACCATCCATCTCTCCAATGGCTGTTGGCCTTACGTCCTTGTTGGAACTGAGGACCGTAACGATCTTGCATCTCTTTAGGACGAAAATGCAATGAATGAGAGTTGGGGATTTGGGGGGTGCATTTTCATTGTCAGTGAGATGCCTTATTACTTGAGACTACTTCTGTATTCTCTCCAGAATTATAAGTACAATCAAATTTTAGGAAGACCACCTACAGGTGTATATGTTCATCAGTTTAATCGTTGCATACTCTAGTTCCCACCCTGCCCCTGTACTATGACCCCTTTTGTCTTTGGTAGCCAGATGAGATGTCTCTAGTTTTCTCCCCATCATCTTCCCTGGAGGAGATATCTAGACAACAGGTTAGAAGAGGGATTTTGTCTCTGAATTCTGAATTCCTTGATTCTGCAGGTTATGGAGAGCAGGAAGTTGTTCTCCAAAGCTTGCTGAGTCTGGCCAATTCTTAGATGCCACCCAGCAGTTCCTGTTGATCCTCCCTCCAGCTCATTTCAGCAGGAATGGAGGTGTCCCATTTGCTCCCTTTTATTTCTCCTCCTCTTTGCTGGCCTGCTCAGTATCTGTGTCTGCCTGTCTGTGTCCCTCCCTCCTTCCTTCCTTCCTTCCTTCCTTCCTTCCTTCCTTCCTTCCTTCCTTCCTTCCTTCCTTCCTTCCTTCCTTCCTTCCTTCCTTCCTTCCTTCCTTCCTTCCTTCCTTCCTTCTTTCCCCCCCCTCCTTGCCATGTGCACTCTTGATGTGTGGCCTGCCCTGCTCTGTGTGTGTCTCTGCTGGGAGTGCTGCCTTTGTTGTCTTGTGTGCTGTGTCCTGGGGTTGAGGACAAGCATATACAGAGTGGTAAAGGATAGTTTATAATTTTTTTAAGCGGGTGATGATGGTGGAGGAACTGACAACTGGATCTTCCACTTTTCCGTTATCTCCAAAGCCGATCCTTCCAGTTGGACTTAGTGGGGCCACGCCTCACCCTGTCCCAGCCTAGAGTCACTCTGAGGGTTAGCCAGGCTACCTTGGGATTTTTAGTGTTTTAGTGTCATGCAGATATAGGGCATCTGCTTGCAAAAGGCTGATCTAGCCTGTGGGACAAAGCCTGGGATCTGGCCTCCCTCGAACTAAATAGTGGGAAAGGATTCTTGTCCTTTAGGATCATTCAGAAGTGTTCCTGAAATGACCTTCCTTCCCCCCCCCCCCAATAATGGCTGCGTCCTCCTTCCTGCTTTCCGTCTCTGTTGCCTTTCGAGGGGCTCCTGCAAAGTTCTTGCCTGCCCATCCCTCCCTGCTTTTATATCATGTCTCCTTCCCTGCATGCAGTTTGCTCTTGGCATCCAGAGGAAGGGAGTGCTATCTTTGAGGGGAGCGGCTTGATTTCAGTTTGGTCCTTTACCCGCTGGGAGCTCTCCCTGCTAGTGTTTGTGAGGGCTGCTGCATGGGACCAGAGGAGCTTCGAACGTGGGGCATGGAGACGGGAGGGCACTGTTCCAGCTTCTCTGGCACATGGGGGCCAAACCCCACAATCGTGACTTTGAATTCTCCTTTCATTTTTTTGTTTTGTTTTGTCCTGCTCAGATCCGCTATCGCAAGGATAAAGCACTGCCCAAACAGACGCCATGTTTCCCTGCCATCACGGGAATAAAGGACCTGGCCAGTGGAGGGGCCATTGCTGCCACAATCCACTACTACTGCCCGCAGCTCATACGCCTTGAGGGTGAGCCTCTGTTCTGGGACTGAGTGGGAGGATGGGGCAGCCGTTCAGAGTCACTCTGAATGGCCCTCGTTTCCTTTTGCCACTAACCCCCTTGTGTACTTTCTGGTAGATGTGTGCCTGAAGGAGACAATGTCGGTGGCAGACAGCTTGTATAACCTGCAGCTTATCCAGGGCTTTTCTTCAGATTATTTGGGTGGTTCCTGTTTCCTGTCATTGGAGGACCTGCTCTACATGCCCCCACTGCTAAGGGTGAGTCCTGGGACTGGTCAGAGAACCGCAGGCTCTGCTACTTGAGAGGCAGAAAGGTGTAGGGAGGAGCCTGCCTAATTGAAGGAAGAGGAATTCCCTGGAGTAAATGGCTGCCCTGGCCCAGTGGGGAAGTCTAGTCCCACATCCAGGAAAGTTCCTCCTGTGGAGTAAATAGGGATTATTGTTTTGTACCAGCACTCAGCCTGTCTTGCCCTAATAAGTCTTGGCTGATATCTCAAGCCACATTAATTAAAAGCTGGTTGTGCAGAAACAATGAGGCCCTTTTAAGGTAGAGGCTGGAGTGATGCTGGAAAGAAAAAGAGATTTTGGTGCGAAGATGGAATTGTTACCCTGTTTGCTTGCTGCATTCTGAGAATTGCTGGGGTGGTATAGGGCAGAGACCCCAGGGCTTCCCTCCTGCTCAAATTCAAGCCAAGGGAGAGACATGTTCCCCCCCCCATCCTCCCCAGGACCCTTGGCTCACTCCCTGCTTTGCTTCCCCAGGTCAACGTCGGAGTATTCCTGGCTGAATTGTTTCTGTGCTTTGAGGTAGTAAAGCCAGATTTTGTGTGTCCAAAGGAACTGCCAAGAGTTCAAGGTAAGAAGATAGTACGTCCATTCGCCACCATGCCTGGGCCTTATCAAAAAATGTCTTCATGAGAGAACCATTTGTCTCTTCACAACTATCAGGCCTTTGCTGTGTGTAATGTAGAAGCTGCTATTAGGTAGGGCAGGTTATGCAAAATGAGATACTAGGTGGGTGTATTAAGTTAATGTGCCTCTGAATATGTGAATATGGAAAGGAAAAAAAGGAAAGGCCATTGGGCAATAAAGGAGGATGTGCAGACATCTTTGCTGCAACCATCTTAATTTTCAATTGCATTATTTTCACACTTCTTGCAGCTCTACAACTAATGCTGCTCCTTTTAAAAAAACAAAATATTCAGGCTCTCACATTTTAGGGGAGTCGATCACAGATTGTATATTTTTTCTTAGAGAGTTCTAAACCTGAAAACAATCTGTTAGGCTGTTTTCTAACAGGAAGGCCAAAGCGTAGCTTAAGTATCCCAAACATCCCAGATCAATTTCATATAATTTATTAACTGAAAGAATGAATATTTTCCTTCATATAATTTGTATCCATTGTAGATTATCCTGGGTATTTTTTTTTCCTCAGAAGTTTGCACTGATTGCTGCATCCTTGTTAACATCCAGGTTCTTCCAATTTTTTTAGAACTTAGGGGCAAGAGATTTGGAATTTGTAGGATTTTTCTCATTTTTTTGGTATACCACATGGTGAATCCCTGTCTAACTGGTCAAACTGGAGCAATCTGATATATAGCCAACCTGTGTACAAGGTATACATGCACACACCCCACAGTTATAATTTGGCATTTGATATAGGGGACTATCACTGTTGCTCTTTATGCCAAATACCACATCCCAGCTAGTGAAGCTGTAGAGCCACAGCAAAGTCTGCTGTGATCTGGCACCGCTCCATTCTGGAACAATGGTCTCCTTTCTGAGCTGAGACCAGAGCAGGCTTCTTTCCTGCATCTGGGTACAGGTGGCTGATACTTCCTCCCCCTTCTGACCTTCCACCAGCATAATTGCCAGTTTGAAATCTCTGTTGTTCCCCCCTTCCCTGCTTTTGTAGTAAAGCTGTTGATCTCTTTCAGATTCCCCTGGCCTGAATGATGCTTCAGCACCAAATAGTGGGAAGACAAGGTGAGTGAGTCCTTGATATTTCCACCTACAATTACCCCTGTGGTATGTGTGTCCTTTCTCCCCTGTGCTGGGAGCGGGTGGCTAAGATTCTGTGTATCAGGAAGCAACATTGAGGATTTCTAAAGACAGATAATGGATTGTATCTCACGAATAGATCCTTTCCTGCAAAGTAGTTGTATGTCAAATTATTAAAGGGACTTAACAAAACAACAGTTCTTCCTTGTCATCCCCTGCCAAGGGTTCTGATTATATAAAAAAAGCTGCCTTACCTTAGTAAGGGTTGATTCAGCCATTTTGTGTGACATTACATGGAAAGGTAGAGAGCAGGCAAAGTGTGTGTATATACTTGGTCTGCCCCCAGATCTCCCCCCCACCCACCCAGGGCAGTGAAGGGAGTTGTTGCTCTGTCACCTAATCTAGTCCAAATGCTAAGTTGGACTCTGGGAACCATGGAACATGTATTGCATGTTGCAAATGGTGCTTGTGACTTCCTAAGGTTAAATATAACAGGTTTTACATGAAAAGGACTAAAATGGTTAAAATCTGATTAGACTTCCAAATCTTGCCAGATTTTGGCCTTTAATTTTTCTTTATTTTGGTACTGGGCCAAGGACTCCATGCACTACTGGTCCCTGGAGCACATGTTGAAATCATTAATAAAGATGATTCTCCTTTTGTAATATGTCCAAGTACCTTTTGGGTTGTGTCTATTTCAGAGCCTGATTTTTTTTTCACTTCAGACGCGGCACTAATCCAGGGTTCCCAAACTCGACTTTCCTGCTGATAGTTCGATGCTTGCCCACAGGCCTTTTTACATGCTAGAAGTCTCTTGAAGTAAACTTGGATCTGGAAGGAGTTATTCCTGCTATTAGGGTGGGGAGAACTCACTGTGTGTGTTATTGTGTCTTGAAGCCTCCTCATGTTTCAAGCTGTAGAACCTGCCTTTGCTTCAGGGGAAAAAAACTTGAGTCTGGGCTGTTCTGAAGTAAGAGTAGACTGCTACTTGTTCTCACAAGATCTAACTCTTGATCAGGAGAGCCTCCTTGATATACCTGGATTGAGTTGCACGTTGAGAGGAAAGATTCTTGGCCAACGATGCAATTCCCAAATTGCTTCAGGCTGTTAAAAAAATTTTTTTTTTGAGGGACAGAGAAAACCTTTGATCTTATTTAGATCTCTGGCACAGCTCTCCTCTCATTTGCAAGTTATGGGAATGCCTGTAGGCAGCAAATTAGAATAACTTGTTTCTACAAGTCAGTAAATATATACATTCATTTTATCTACCAAATGAATGAACTGATTGACATATGACATATGTCATATTTATATACGTGTCTCTGTGTTGTAATTTTACGATTGTATAATTTCTTTTCGAGTTTTTTTCATCCCTCCTCCTTTCTTACCTTCTCCCATTCCAGGGGACAGAACTATTTTAGGGAGATTTGTTGCTTATTGATGCAAATCCTGGCTATTAGTCCTATAATATTCAGGCTATAGTTCTGTCTTCTTGTGTGCAATAACCCGAAACGTTATCCCTGTTTTGATCCAATCTTTGCTTCTTGCTCTTGTTTTGTAGTAGCTCCCCTGTGTTCAGCTTGCGCCACCCGCTGCTGCCTGGAGGACAGTCACAGTCACCGCTCTGTGGCTCCTTAGGTAAGATCTGGCTCCGTCTTGCGGTACCAAGTAACTTTCATGTAGAAATAGAAAAAGCAAAATGTTGTTGGAAGTACATGCTTAAGCCACTCATATGTGGCTTTGGGGAATCTAAACGGTTGTCTTGATCTTGGCTTCCAGTATTTCAGGGTGGTTTTGCATACTCAGTGCTGGGTAGCCCTCCAGTTGTTCTGGGCTGTGAACCACACACATCAGGGAAAATAGAGGCACATTTAATTTTAGTTGTGTGATAAGGATGTAGTCCACCAGATGCTTTCAATTATGTAAAGCAATTATGGCTTACTTCTTTGCACACTTTCCCACTGAGTTCAGCGACACTTCTAAACCTACGTGCTTAAGATTGTACTGTGTGCAAATCAACAGCCTTGGATTTTAATGAAATTCTGACCTCAAAAAATAATAAGGTAGATTAAAATGATCAAAGGTTGGCCAACCTTAGCATAATTGTGAAAGATACTTCTGCTAAAGTAGAATATCGTTGCCGTTTCTCCATGTTGCTTGTTTCTCCTTACGCTGATCTCATGTGGCAATAAGTGTCGTCCCAATAATAATCCTCCTGAGATGCTTGCCATTCTGTTTTAAAGCAGGCCTTGAATCCTGCTACTTGAGAAAACCACTGGGTGATCATCTTGGAGTTGTGCTTTGTTGTGACTTTCTGTCTTTATGCACGTAGGTTCCCTGCATCATTCCACATCCATGTCCCAAGTAGAAGGCTTTGGCAAATCATGGAGCAAGAAGCAGCTCAGGTGAGGGGGGGGGGAGGAGGAACCGTGGATCACTTGCTGACACTCCTGAAAAACTAGGAAGAGCTACCAGGAACCATTTGGGAAGAATGCAGAACTGCTGATTATGCAGCCCTTGGGATTTTAGCAACCAGAAGTTTGTATAATGAAGTGGCAAAAGTTAGGTGAGGCAAGGAGGGGAAGAAGAATAGCAGTAAGGAAATTACTCAGAAACTAAGATGAAGTGAGCTGGAATAATAAAAAGGAAGTAAAAGGTACTAAAATGGACACAGTAATGTGGTTTTCTTAGCAACATATGGAAGTGGTTTTCCCATTTTCCAGTCTAGCCTAAAGTCTTGGCATTTCCTGATGGTCTCCCTTCTGTATACTAGGTAGGAGTAATACCAGGGACATTAATTTGCCTTAGGTAAAGTTTGAGTCCAAAGGCAAAACCTAATTGAATAATTGGCAGTTAGTGGGGGTGTCTGTTTACATTTTTAAATAGTATTTTAACAGATGGTAATAGGTTAAGATTGATTTAGATCAGTCACCAATAGAGTTTTCTGCAAATTGTAATTTTGAATATATTGGCATTCTGACCCAGAATTCCCAGCTAGCATCTCTGTGATTATTCCGATATATCTGGAAGTGCAGGGAAGTTCAGGGAAGGTGCAGCAGGACATTTTGTCTGAGATGGAGCAGAAAACCAGAAGTAATTGTTCACATGGTAATTGTGTTGATTCAACCTCAACAACATTTAAGATGTGTGGAGTTCAACTCTCAGAATTTTCCAGCCAGCAGTCCGCTAAGGTTGAGAAACAGTGTGGTAAATACTGAACATGTTCAGAAAACTAAATAATAATAATTCTTGGTTAGGCCATTGAAAGAACAGAGGTGGCACAGACCATGCTGGCAAAGAATTAGGGACACTGAACTCCAAAATGGTTAGTTAGACCTGAGTTTGAACAAAGGCAATCTAATTAATGTGGTTCTAATTGTTCCAATTGTAACAATAATTGCCTTTGTTGTTTTTTTAAGAAACAAAAATGAGTTTGTCTTTTATCAAGGTGGAAATTATGTAAATGATTTTAAAAATAAAATAAAATAGGTATTGGTTTATAAATGTATGTCAATTTAATTATTAAAATAATGGATTTCCTGGTTTCCCATTTTCAAAGTTGTATTTAGGATTGGTTTGTATCTCTTTAAACTTTCATCAACAGTTAAACAGTTCAGTTAATTAAAAATAACGCAAAGCAAGATGGCTAAATAATTAAATGTGAAAAATATCTGCCTTCCACTGCTCGACGAAAGCTAAATAAAATATTCTGCATAATTTGTTCTGCTTTCTAGTCAAGAGAATAAACAAAACATTGGGTAGGACATTGAAATTTCTACCTGCATCTGATACCGGAGCACCTGACCTCTGCTACCTCATTTCTGTGGCTTTTTAAGTTCATTAAGCATCACCCCCCCAGACTTCCAAGTGCTTCTCCTTAAGTCCAGGAAATTTAAAACTATAAACTGGAATTCTCAGGAAGTGTGAGGAATACTAGAGGTTTAGGTTAGAGTCATGTAGGATGTTGTAGCTATACGTTTGGATATAGAATTGTGAAAAAGAAGCTATACCAGTGATGGCGAACCTTTTAAGAGATTGAATGCCCAAACTGCAACCCAAAACCCACTTATGCATCGTCGAGTGCCAGGTGGGTGTGGCCCATTGGCTGGGGCTGCAGTGGTAACGGCAGACTGGGTGGGACTAAAAAGTTCAATCAATCAATTCCAACTTTTCAAGATCTTTTTTTTCCCGCAAGAAGTTGAAATTGACTGATTGAATTTTTTTTTTTTTTTTTGCACACGGTGGCGAAGGCCTAAAGCAAAAAGGTTTTATAAAACGCAGCTGAAGGCCTAGGACTGGGGGGACTGTGCGCGTGCCCACAGAGAGGACTCTTGAGTGCCGCTTCTGGCACCCGTGCCATAGGTTTGCCACCACTGAGCTATACAATGCTGGGGTAGAAGTTGAAGTTGGGCTTTCTCAGCCAATTAATATTCCTCTCTTTTCCTCTTTTTTCCAGCCACCCCTTGTCACAGGCAGTCTCATTCAGCATCCCTTTTGGCCTGGACAGTGATGTGGATATTGTGATGGGGAACCCCGTGGGCATCCTTCGTTCTGTCAGTTCTGACAGCCTGGCACCGACCCTCTATTCCTCCTTGCCTCGCTCCCCCCATCCATGGCCTGCTGAGGCTGCTGAGGCCCCCAATGGATTAGTAATGCCATCACTCCATGGGGCTGGACACAAAAATCAAGAGGGACCGACTCTAGAGAATGGCCTAAATGATGGCTACACTGACTTGCCCACCATTGAGGAAGCACTGCAGATCATCCACAGCAGTGAACGCCTGGTCCCCGAGGGAGCCCCTGATGGCTTTTATTTGCACTCACCAGAGCCTCCTAAAACTTCTATGCTGGAAAAGACTCCCCTGCCCACAGTTTACCGCTGCCATAACGGGCCCCCCAATGGTGCTGAACCTGCGCAAGAAGGTAGTCTGGACTCTGATGCTGAGGAGCCCCTGCGGCTTGCAGGAGGCCCAGACGATTCCACCTCGGGTGTGAGTTCCCTGAGTTCACAGCCAGAGAGCACTGCCTCCTCCGCCTCTGGTGTGCGCATGACCAGCTTTGCAGAACGCAAGAAGAAACTGGCAGCTACCGATAGCAAGTCCAGCGGGATCAGCTCTGAAGGCTCAGAGGCTGGTCAGGTGCCATCAGAAGAAAGCCCTGCCCAAAGCCCTGCCCTTAGCTCAGAAATGAGCCAGTTGAGTGCCCGGTTGGAGGAGAAGCGCCGAGCCATTGAGGCTCAGAAGAAACGCATAGAGGCTATATTTACCCGGCACCGTCAGCGCTTGGGCAAGAGTGCCTTCCTACAACTACAGAAGGCTCCTGATTCTCAGTCTGAGGACAGCCGACTTGCCCTGGAGGAGCGGCTTGCTCAGCTAGAGGCCGAGGAAGAAGCTGGAAGCCCACGTACCCGTCTGGATAGTAAACAGGTTACTTTCTCTCCTGATATCACCAAAGGCGATGAGAACCTGGGTGATTACAACCGGGCAGTGGCCAAACTGAACACGGCTTTGAGCTCACTGCAGTTGGACATGCAGCGCCTGAGTGAGCAACAGCAACGCCTCATGCAGGATAAGAAGCCTAGCGCACAGGCCTGGATGATCCCAGCCCCGAGGACTGGCCGTGAGGGAGCTCCTCCCCGCTCTTCACTGGAACTGTCCTCCCCTTCTCCTTCCCCTTCCCGCAAATCTCGCTCACCCCAGCCCACACCCAAGAAGTCCCCAGCCCCCGTGCCTCCCAAGAGTCCCAAGCACACCCGGCCAGTTGAGCTAAAGCTGCCGCCCCTCACACGAGTCCTGACACCGCCTCACAACGTGGACACCCTTCCACACCTCCGCAAATTCTCCCCGAGCCAGGTTTCTGTGCAGACCCGTTCCTCCATCCATTTTGCTCAGGAGGAGGAGAAGCTGCCTGTGCCAGAGTTGGAAGCCCAGAATAATTTGCGGCCGGTGGCCTCTGTTCCTCCACAAGGAGGCAATGCTCGTGTTTCAGGTGATGGCACCAGTGATGTCTCCTCACCCAGTGATCGACATAGTAGCCTGATTGAAATCCCTCTGTCAAGCTTAAAAGGAGAGGATGATGAAGACATGGATGGGGATGACTCCCTGGAGGAATCAATTGCTGAGACTTTGGATTCTGAGCCCCGTACAGGTCTGGGCTTCTTTTTTAAGGTGAGGATTTAACTCTTGGCTACTAACAATATTCTTAACTACCTGACAGAGCTTTCTGCTCTCTTAAAGACCTTCTGGGGGAAGGGAAAGAGGTTGGCTTGGGCTTTGGATGATCTGTAGACCAGGGAACATTTCTTTTCAATACTAGTTGGTTCAGCATAATAGAAGCAGGAGGAATATCAGATTCTGTCAAGCAGGAAGTGTGTCCCAAAGTGCCACAAGCTTTTTTAGGAGCTTGCAGTTGGGAATTTTTCTATCTTGCTTAAATCACAGCAGCAGCAGCAACTTCTCTAGCAATCACTGCACATTTCTGTGGCATCTAGAATTGAAACTACTTGTACACCTCATGTTATGAATGCTGGAGAGTGAAGATCCTGTAGTGCAGGCACTAACCTTCGTTGCAGCTAAAACCTGTTTACTGTTTACTGACTTCTATTTGCACGACCCCTTTCAAATCTTGATAGTAAGCCTGTGGCCCCTGACATAGCCGCACTGTAGCACTTGGTCTCATCGGTTTAAAATACGATTTGGTTGAAGTCTGCTACAGACAGAAACGGGCATGAGTAGCCTGAATGGAAGTGTGCAAGTCCTCCAAGATGAGCGGGAGATGATTGTCAGAGTCTCCAATCTGAGGGAGGAGAGGATAAGACTGATCTGATTCTTTTGGAAGCCAAAACTGATGCTGATCCATTAGGGCTACTCAGCTGACATGTTTTTTTCATACAGGATGAGGATAAGGCCGAAGAGGAAATGGCACAGAAGCGTGCCAGTCTTTTAGAGAGACAGCAGCGGCGCAGTGAGGAGGCACGGCGCAGAAAACAGTGGCAGGAGACAGAGAAGGAACAGAAGAAAGAAGAAACCAAGTAAGATGGGATGAGCTGTCATATTGTTAGGCCTATATTCGGCCTAGTGCCAATTAGATCAGTGTTTCTCAACCTTGACAATTTTAAGGCATGTGGACTTCAACTCCCAGAATTCCACAGCCAGCAATGCTGGCTGTGGAATTTTGGGAATTGAAGTCCACATGCCTTAAAATTGTCAAGGTTGAGAAACACTGAATTAGATGATTTCCATTTGATCAATATCCCCTGTGGAATTCTGACTCCTTTTTTTTTTTCCAGACTTCAAACCGATGAGCAGGCCCGAGTAGAGGGAGAAGTTGGGCCAAGGCGTGGCGACTTCACGCGTCAAGAGTACCTGAGGCGTCATCAACTCAAATTGATGGAAGATTTAGATAAAGTGCTGCGTCAGAAGCCCACAACCGTTCGTGCCCTGAAGAAGGGACGGCCTAAAACAGTCTTCTGCGATGATTCTGCCCTTGCCCGCAGCCCTGTCAAAGGACTCCTGGGTAAGAGTTATGACAGGAGGGAGGAAGGGGAAAATAGTCCAGTTCAAGCAAGACAGGAAAAAGTCTGTAGGAGGCCATGGTTTCTACAGAGAATTGAGACTGAAGAGTCCTATGGACCAGAGGCCCCCAACTTTTTGGGCACTAGGGACCGGTTACATGGAGAGAGGCTTTTCTACGGATCAGAGGGGGCCTGGTTTTGTGTGATGTCTGCATCCCACAGATAGGGTTTTGCTTGTTTGTGCGGCCCGGTTGCTGGCCTACCGCGGCCCGGTACTGGTCCACAGACTGGGAGTTGGGGACCCCTGCTCTGGATTGTGAGGAAGAGATTTCATAGGCTGTGATTATGTTGCTCTATCATGATGTCATTGTCTACTTGTATGCCTATCCTTTAGTCCCCAGGATGATTATGAATTATTAAAGGTGGAGGAGGTCTTAGTTGGTTCTCCCTCTGCCCACGCTGGCTAGGTTAATCTCTTGTATGGCTTTAGGGATTTCCAGACGATTATTGCTGGTTAAGGTTCAGGCCAAAATCCTTAGAATAAGTACAGTTCTGGATTTCATTACTTTTTATTGATACCTGATCTTACCCAATTGGGTACATTCTGGGCTTTCTTTAGCTGCGGCATAGATAGCTGGCGGTCTTAGAGGTGGTGGGGATTAATATAATTTCTAAACATAGATTGTCAGACAATTTTCAACACTTGCATCAACACTCTGGAAAAATAGTTTGGGAAAGTGGGTTTTTATCAGTTTGATAATACTTAGCTCCATTCTCTGTTCTAGAATCAGGTCTTGCCTTTATGGTATCAGCTACAGTAGTGTCTTGTTTGTTTCTGAATGCAGTGCTGGTTATCATTTTAAAATTCTTGGTGACTTAGATCAGAGTGCTTGCGGGATTTTCTGATAGGTGAAATTGTGCCATCCGCTAAGATGAGATTTGTACAGTGGTGGGATTCAGCTGGTTCGTACCACTTCGGCAGAACCGGTAGCTAATTTTTTGTTGCCCAGGCCCAGAATGGACTTCCGGAAGCGGCATCCACACAGAGAACCGGTTGTTCACATATTTGAATCCCACCACTGGATTTGTATGTAGGTCAGCCATCATCGCAACACACAAATGATTTTTTTTTTAAAGACGCTATGAAGCAATCAGTTGAGCTCTGCTGACAATGGAGGGCATTTCTTCTTTAAAGCAAGCATTTGATTCTTTAGTTGCTTAATTGCATGTGATGGTTAATTTTGATTTAGTATCTTTGGAAGTTGCTTTGTTGATTTTTTTTTCCAGTAACAAAAATCAAGGTCTGCCGAACTCTCAAAATAAATGAATGAGCTTCTTTCTTAGCGTTATAAATGAGGGGCTACTATGCCAGATCCTATTGATATCCATTTTTCTTAGGCTCCAAACTCAGCAAAGTATACTCTCAGTCAACTCTGTCTCTTTCGACGGTGGCCAATGATCCTGGCAACTCCCTCTTCATCAAGAGAGCTTCGCGGTGAGTAGGCACTGCTTCTCTATATCGCTGGCAGGTGGGCGAGGAAGGTTTAGATCTGGATCCATATCCAAGAAAATGCATTTGTGTAGAAACGATTGCAGTTCTCTTAAATCCAGGGTTAAATTATTTATCTGTTCCCCAGAGCTGCATCACCTTCTGGGCCAATGTCTCCCAGTCGGTTGCTGCCCAATCAGAACCGGGAACGTGACTGGGAAAATGCATCGACTGCCTCCTCACCAGCTTCCATTCCAGAATATACTGGTAAACCTTATTGTTATTCCACAGTTCATAGCTTTGCTCTCCTGGCATGGTAGAGGGTGATTGGCTAGACTCCACACTTCTAAGTGCCCCATATTGAAGTGGCCTTGGCTATGTGTAAGACCATTCCAGTTCCATCTTCTTTCACTGCAAAGTGTTTATGAATGCCTCTATTTTGATCTGCTTTCCTTCAGACGGGGAGAAATATAACCTACTTTCTATGCTAACCTCATTGTATTTCTGCAGGCCCCAAGCTGTACAAAGAGCCCAGTGCCAAGTCCAATAAATACATCATCCACAATGCATTGTCTCACTGCTGCCTCGCTGGCAAAGTCAATGAACCCCAGAAAATCCGTATCTTGGAAGTAAGTTGAGACACGGTGAATATGAACCATGGAAAAGATGCAGTCTTTTTTTTTTTTGCAATGGGCACAGCGTGCAGATGTTGGTATCAAGTCTAAGTAATTGCCTTAAAAAATTGGGACAATTGTGGCTGCAGCTCTGCATCAATAGCTTTGGGGCTACAGGCAGTCCTCAGTTAATAACCACTCATTCAGCAACTGGTTAGCACAGCACAGCACTGAACATCTGGTCCTCAAAGTTCTGGCCATTTCAGCACCTCCATGGTCTTGTGATCACAATCTAGACACTTGGCAACCGGCTTGCACCTATGACACTTGCAGTGTCCCGTGATCACAAGATTGCTATTTGTAACCTTCTCTGCCAACTTCCCACAAGCAAACTAAATGGGAAAGCTGGCAGGGAAGGTCACATGTTGCTCTGAAGTTACCCACTTTGCAGCAGCTATCACAAACCTCACCGAGGCATGCCAGTTCCTTGTGTACCCTGCTCTGCCTGGAAGCAGCCATCACAAGCTGTACTTGTACTTGCGCCTCAGTGGCCCTCACACACCCTCCACTGCTCAAAAGCAGCCACTTTAGGCCTTGCCCCATGTGTTACATACTAGCCCCTCCCTCACCTGGCAACAACCACTTACCTGCCTGTCAGCTTGCTGGGACTTGTAATTTCCTGCTGGCTTACCCATTGACTTGGATATTGGAAGCTATGAGGGGGTTGTGAAGAGGTCCTTGCTTAACAACTGGTGAACCTCGCTTAATAATGGCAATGGAAGCTGCTGGGATTGTCATTGCTAAGCGATGCAGATACATATCATGCATTATGACCGCATCACTTAGCTACTGAAATTCTGGTCCCCAATTAACTGAGGACTACCTGTAAGTATATTTGCATTGGCTTAATTTAGTAGGCTGGATGCTTCCTCTACATAAACAGATTTTCCTTCTGATGTCCTTAAGTATATGAACTATTGACACGTACTATCATGGTATGGGTAGGCAACTTGATCTCTAGAGATTTTGGACTACACTTCCCATACTCTTTGGCTATTGATCGTGTGCTGACAGTATGAAACATCTGAAGAGCCCCAAGATTTAAGGTTTACTGCAGTTACAGAATAAACAGAAAGTTCTAGCTGCATTCTTTAGTTGTGATGAAAGGGAGAAGTACTAGCAACTCAATCATTAAGAAATGTAAATAGCTAAGCTTTACTGTTGAAAAGTTGTTGAGTCATTTTAATGGGTGCAAGATGTCGATACTATAAAACAAGGTCAGTCTTTCCTCTTTGTGGGAAGAAGAAAATAATAGGGCATTTAGTATTGCTCTCCTAATTTGATTGGATGAGCATCTATAACTTAGAATTCTGGTTCTTCTGGTTCTTCAGTAGTTTAGGAATTGTTTTGTGTTTTATACTCTGCCCTTATCTAATCTTTGATTACATGTTTCTTTTCTCTCAATCTTAGGAAATTGAAAAGAGCAAAGCAAATCACTTCCTCATTCTCTTCCGTGATTCAAGTTGCCAGTTCCGGGCGCTCTACACCCTGTCTGGGGAAACAGATGAATTGACACGTTTAGCAGGCTATGGGCCCCGCACCATTACCTTGTCCATGATTGAAGGCATCTACAAGTATAGCTCTGATCGCAAGCGTTTCACTCAGATTCCCAGTAAGACCATGTCCATGAGCGTGGACGCCTTCACTATCCAGGGCCATCTCTGGCAGACCAAGAAGCCAGGCACCCCCAAGAAGCCAAGCACACCAAAAGAGCTGTGACCTGAAGAATGTGGTGTTAGTCCTACTCTCTGCCTAAACTTAGACCCACGACATCTAACAGCTGGCCTTCTGCATTGGATGGCTTGAGTTGACGAGGCTGTGAGGCGTGGGTCTGAGACCGAGTCCTGGGCCAGCACTATCTCTGGCTGGATCAGAGTTATCTGGGAAATTCTTCTGGTGCCTGCTTTGAAGATGAGACTACTATTGGCTGCTTTGGGTTGTGGGACAGTATGGTGTTGGAAGACCAGGATCTGGTCCCGTAAGCTAAAGTCTCAAGAGTTGCCATAGTAATACTGCCCTAAATAAGGGTTTGCTTCTTGCCTCTAACCACTACCTGAATGTTAATGCGCAGCCAGAAGGAAGAGTCTATTTTTCAGACTCCTATTTGCCTGGAAGATTCTATGTTGGTTTTTTTTTCATTTCTTGGATCTCCCTGTTTATACTTATACATACTATACATATATATATATATATATATGAGCTATTTAATGATTTTTCAATTATTTGTATATAAAAAAGAACAAATTTGGAACAGCGGGTAGGGTGAATTTGTATATGAAGTTGGCATGGTGGAGGTAGTACAGAGCAAGGTGTGTAAGTATGTATGATCCTTCCTTTTTCCATTGAACACCTCCCTTTTGTCTACTCCCTTATTTACAAGGGCTATTGGGTGTACAGCTGAGAAAGAGCTGTTAACAGGATCTCTTTTTCAGCAGCTGCTATCATTTATTTACATGTTGAGAAGCTGGTGGCTGCTACAGTCATAGAGCAGGTCTCTGTGTACCCCGAGTTGAACTGCCAAAACAAACTCCAACCACTTTAGGGAGGAGTGTGGTCCATCTTTCTTTTTCTCTCCTTCCTCCTTTCTTTCTCCAAACCCTGTTTACCTGCTTCCAAGGCTATAGGCTGGGTATGCAGCACTCCAAAGAGACAGAGGAGCCTGGGCACAGAATGTTAAGTAGCCCTTGATTATGTGAGCCTCATTTGCCATCCAACCTTGATGCCTCTGGATAGAGGTTGCTTGCAAAGCAGAGTAGGGGAAGATGTGAGGGAACCAGTCTAATTCAGCTTGGATGCTTCACTCTGATTCTGTCTTGTTCAACCTTATTCCGGTCTCTTGTGGCTGACTGAGTGTCATGTAGGCGTCTGGGGGTATAGTGTAGGGCTGAGTTGATGTAAAAAGTGGGTTGGGATTTTTGTCCTTCCCGCTTAATAAAGTAACTTAAATGAGCTCTTTACTGGTCATTACTCAGTGAATGTTTGAATCTTGAAGCCTGTACCACCGATAAGCAGGCGAGGCATCTTTGCTTCTGTGCAAGTCTAGTGGATACTGAAATTAGAAACTGAATGCCACAGAGTTCTGAAAGGGGCTCATTCACCCCTACTTTCCATAATATATGGTAGAATATTTTAGAATGAATACTGCCCCTTGATTATTTAAAGTAAAAAAATGCAGGCACATAGGGAAATCTACACAAGTGGAGGAAAAATGCAGATGTGTTCAACAAAGACTGAACTCAAGATGGGATTAGCTCCTATTGTCATGCATCTTAAAAATATTCCTGCCAAAACTTGTTAGTGGAACTGAAAGTTACTCCGTGCTCAATGGACGTGTCCACTTTTTCCTACTTGTTCAAATACATTTAAGCCATAAGGTGAACATACTCTTCAATTTTCTAAATGTCAAAACTAATATATAATTAGTTACCATTTGTCCCTGGCCAATAAATATCAAAACGAGATGGAGAGAAGGCTTAACTTCTATTTCTCCGGTGCCTGACCATACTGGCTGGGAATTCTGGGGGGATTTAGTTCCAGCATACTTTGAAGACTCCAAATTACACAATGTCAGTTTAAGGAAAGCTGTAGCCTATGTTTTTGTATTGCAAAAAAAAAAAAAAGTTTAAATCTGCAGTTCTTAATGTTTATAAAAATATAGGAATATTCATTTTAAAAGTTCATTTCGATGAATGAAGGCTTATTTTACACAGTAAACAATTATTTCATTTTGGAACATGGTATACATTGAGCTCCCCACCCCCCTTGTTTCCATAATTGTCTTGTTTGTAATTTAAGATTTCAGCCCAGGCAATAATAAAGCTTTTCGTGATAACGAAGTTGGTTAAGAATAGATATCACCATCTTTCCAGAAAGATAAGCCCCAGTTTAAGAAAACACCCCATGAAGAAATCGTGTCTGCATTCATTACAATCCTTTCCACAAATTTTCCATTTTAAAGGTAAATTATTTGGGAGAAAAGCTTCTTTCCTGTTGGTTAAATACAATACAACTATCAACAGCATTTTATAAATCACTTCTTTCTCTATTATGTTCGAGTTGCCAAGAAGAACAGCAGCTTACACAATCACAAAGAAAGGCTTTACAGGGCACACTGGTTAACCAGGAAGGTGTTGTCTCTACTCCAGCTTGAAGCAGTTCACTAATAACAAACAGCTCAGTCATCTTTAAGGCCACCAAAGACAGCAGAGGGGACACTCTTCTGTTCCAGCTGCACCTCTGTAAGAGAAGAATTAGAATAGTTAGTAGAAAAAGGCCAGGCATATTGGCTTTTCAAAAATAAGAGTTCCTATTCACCAAAGTCAACAGCCATAGCCCCAGATTCACAGGGGTAGGCAACCTTGGCTCTTTTATGACTTGTGGACTTCAGCTCCCAGAATTCCTGAGCCAGCGTGGGGGAACTATGGCCCCCTCATGACTTGTGGACTTCAACTCCCAGAATTCCTGAGCCAGCATGGCTCAGCATGGAAACCTCTCCATTTCTCCTCAGCATGGCTGGCTCAGGAATTCTGGGAGTTGAAGTCCACGAGTCATTAAAAGAGCTAAGGTTGCCTACCCCTGCCCCAGAAGAAGGCTGCTGCGTTCCCGTCCTCCCTCTTACCATCAGGCTCATTGTCTTCACTCTCATTGCTGTCATCCAAATCAATGTCTATCTCATCAGGGTTGGCCTGCTTGGAAAGTTCAGCCAATTCACTGCGGGAAGCATCACTCCTGAAAAATAAGCAAAGGGAGATGAGTGAACTGACAGCACATGATTCTGACTGGAACTTTCCTGTATTTATCCTTCCCTAATAAAAGGAGCTGCCTATCCTTTTGCCCCGACTTTATGTTTTCAAAAACCAAAAACATATTGAAAAGTTTGACATTTGTACATCTAAAGCAGAGATGTCCATACTGTCACATAAACTTTCTAATGTGTTATCAGTGAATTCATTCTTTGGTTGAGTGGGATGATTAACCAGCAGTATAATTTGTGGAATCTTGTGTCAGGGCAGGGACAGGAGTGAAACTTTCACAAGTCCCAATAAACCTTAATTAATTAAAGTTCTGGGGTGATGGGAATTTTAATTTAAACATTTTCGAAACACCCAGTTATCTTCACTGCCTGGAAGAATCAGCTTCACATCTCTTGTTTAGCTATGGTGATTACAACTTGTCCTTTGGAAAGTTATTCTCTCAGTCTAGGCTACCTTGGAACAGTTACTGAGGTAAGGAGGAAGATAACTTTATCTTCCAAAGGAGTTTCTAAGGATGAATGTGAAAAGAGTTTGCCCGAGACCAAGAAAGAGAAGAAACCAAACTGTGGAAATTGCCAAGAAGAAAACAAACCAAGAAAAATAAAAATCTCAGGAGCTTAACAAAAGCTTCAGACAACTGTTAGAAGAGACAAGAAGCAATATTATAACAACATTTACAAAGACACTGAGGATGGAAACACATTGAAGATGGAAAAACAAGGAAAGTTTCAAAATATCTCCGAGCTCAGAATAAGGTCCCAACCTCAAATTGGTATGCTAAAAGGAACTCCGTGGACAGATAGTAACTGATTTAAAAGAGATCAAAGGAAATGGAAGGAATATGCTGAAACATTGCACAGTAGAGGTAGTCAGTGTCCATAAACCCTAAAAGATATTCCCTACTTACAAGAACCTCTAGTACTAGGAAGTTAATTATTGCCAAATTGGAAAACTACAGAAATAGAGTAAGCAGCAGAAGAAGAATCAGTAAAGGTTCTAATCAAGCTATGCAAGCAAATCTGGAGAATGATATAAAGACCAAGAGATTGGAAGGAGACTTGATAAAATGTGCAAACTATCATAGAATACGCTTAATTACACATGCTAGCAAAATAGCGCTTAGGATCATATAACAATGAATTAAGAGTTTTACACGGAAAAAGTAATGCCAGATTTCGAACTAACTTTAGATAAGGCTGACTAATAGGAGACATTTCAGCAGAGGCAAGCTGGATAATTGGAAAAACCAAAGAATACCCCAAAGAAACCAGTACAGTCAGTCCTTGCTTACCAACTGCTTCGTTTAGTGACTGTTGAAAGTTATGACTGTAGCCAATCCTTTTATATTTACAATCACCAGTGTCCCACGGCCACGGGATTGCCATTCAGATGTTTTGCAATCAGCACACATTTACAACTGTCACAGCATCCCACAGCAACAGAATTATCATTTGCGTGCTTTCCAACCAGCTTGAAACAAGCAGTTAAGGGAGATGCAGAAGTAAAATCGCAAGTTGTGGCCATGTGATGTCTCACTTAACTGAAAGTCCAATTCTGCCATCTCTTTTACAGCCCGAAAAATAAAGATGGTCTGTTCTGAGCCTCTTGCCCAGCTCTTTATCCAGCTGCATGCTGTGCTGTCTCTTATCTGATCATTCCTGAAGCAGCATCCCTTTATTCCATCACCCAAGATCTTTCTCACATACTATTACATCATTTGAAGATGGAACTTTCTGGAAAACGCTATAATACTGGGAAAGGTGGAAGGAAAGAGACCAGCAGCAAACTGGATGGCCTCAGTAAAACAATGGCATTGGGTGCACTGGTGGAAGACCTGAAGCACCTGGGGTTAGGGACAGCATCATGGAGAAGATCTAATGGGGTCACTAAACGTTGACATCATCTTGATGACACATAATCAAATAAGTAGTCAATGAAATCAGAAAGCCAAATAGCACTCTCTGCTGGGTTCCCAATGTGCCATAAATCATTCAGACCGCACTGTAGAAAAAGTACCAAAACTGTAAATGCAAAGAAGGCTGTCCTTGGCAATACTTCGGTGTCATCTTTCCCTAGAAAAATACATCTGATCGCTTGAAAGCTGAAATAGCCATCTGGTAGAAAATTGTGCTAGTTTCTCAAGACAACACCACAGTCCTGTTCTCATTCTAGTCATGTTAGCAGCTAGGGCACTATCTGTTTGTTCCCGATTCTTGATGGGTTAAAATAATATATATTGTCTTGAGTTCCTGAATACAAATCAAATAATCAGTCACATTTTTCCCCATCATGGTTTTTTTTGGGTGTTGTTACGAATCCAAATAGTCTTCATAGGGGAAAGATGAACAAGTCGTCTGCTTATAGTACCCTCACCTGACAAACAAGATCTTCTCCTTAGCTCGAGGCTGATCTCTTTCTGATTCGGCTGCCAGTTGTTCCGCTCGCTGCTCTAAGAGCTTCATGTCATCCATGCCGCTCTGTCCTGGTGCTAAGTCAGACACTGAAACAAGACAACGTTAAAGAGGAGGATGAGCAGGAGGGTCAGGGGGTGGCTAGAAGAGAGCAGGAGATGTAGCTCATCTCCGTCTAAGAGAAGGCAAGAAGTACCTGTGCCTGTGGCATTGCTGTAAACCTTTAGCATCTGAGAAGCCATGAAGTTAACCTGAGTATTGTAAGTAGCCTGCACACTTCGCTTAATGCGTAGCATTTCTCGGATAGTGTCTTCGTTCCCATGCCGAATCTCAAATTCTTTCCACGTCTGCCAGAAGTTGGCAGTAGTCTGGGAAGGGAAACCAAAAAGATGTGTGTTTTGAGGACTGCTGGGAAAGAGACAGTGGCAAAATTCAATAGACAGCCGATTCAAAGACTGCTGTTTCCACTCTCCTCTGAGCTTTCTGATATATATAAAAAAGGAAAGATTTAATGAGGTTAAGAGGACAGAGGTCAACTATTATTGCGCTCTCTTATCTTCTGTATCAGGAACAGGCAGTCATAAACAACAGAGACACATCCATTGCATAAGAAACACAAACACACACCTTTATTTATCCATCAGGTGGCAGATGGAAGAATCCATCCTTAGTTTTTCCAAAACTACATATAAGATTGTTGTGTCGCAATACACATACAATGGTACCCTTGTACTCAACTGCTTTTGAAACTCACTGAATTTGGTACTCAATGCATTTTGACGCGAACATGTTATGCCGGTACTCCTTATTTGTTTAGTACTCAACGCACAAGCTAGAACTTGTTGGTGTCAGCTGCCTTGTGACTCGCTATATTATTCCTTATGGGAAAAATTTGTTTGGTACTCAGCGCGCCTCACAGAGCAATTAATGAGTGCCGAGGTACCACTGTATTTTGAACTGAGCAGGAAGTGATCATTTCTGCTCTTTCGGCAAAATGAGGGGCTTCTTCCTCCCTCCCCTCAACTAAATATTGCCACAAGCAGATAGGATGCTAGTTCTCCAGTACACAGAAAAAGCCACTTACTCGGGGGTCACATATCTGCGAACAATAGGAATAGATTGCCCGACCTCGGTCTATTTCACCCAATTTGCTTTCCATATCGGCAAAGCGCAGACACATCTCCCGAGCGTGTTCATCTGATAGCACCTGAAAAAAAAAAGGATGGATATTTAAATGTACTACACCCTTCAATATTTCAGCTTCTAGGGTGGTATGAAGTAATAATCTAGAGCTAAGTATAGTATGTGAGGATTACGATTACCCAGAGGGCTTTCAGAATATTTTAGTGATTGGAATATATGAACTGATCTAGGAGTTCTGTTTCAGGAAAATAAAACCAATTTGAACAACAGTATTCCCTAAGGTGGGCCTACAAGTGTTATAATACTTTCTCCAATGTTATCGATCAAAATCCCATCTGAGAAAGCTTCTGGAAATCTGTTTGAGGCAAGTTATATGTGCCAATGCAGTACAATCTTAGTCAGCGTCCTAATGGCGGAGCCATAGACCTGCTTAACTTGTGCTCCTGGTTTGTATAGATAAAGAGACCGCTGGGTGCCTGGTTTCAGTGAATCCCAAGTATCCTGCAAATATTTAACTTGCTGAATATTTTGCTTGCATTGGATGTATTTGAGATACAATTGGGCAACACAATCACTTAGGAATAAAGTTACCATGCCTATGTGGGAAACCCACAAACCTTGCAACAATGTCTACGGCTCCTCCACTTTCCTGGCTGACATAGCTACCAAGAACACTGCCTTCTAAGCTAATATTTTAGCTGGAATCTAAATAATAGCTCTGAACTAAGAATACTTACTCTAAATCAGTTGTAATTCAAGAGATTCACTGAATATCTTCCCCTCATTAAGAGCTTGCATATGGTGGTCTATTCACGGTTACCTATTCCAGCATAAGGATCTTCGTCACTTTGTCTAGTAATACTGTGTATACTTTTAATGTGAAGTCTAAGTTAGCTAGCTGTGCATCCCCTCTAAAATGTTCCTTCTCCTCCTCCTCCTCCTATTCCACAAAGAACTGCATGCCTGATGGGGCCTGTGACAGACCTTCTCCCTGCAGAATCTGTTAAGATGAGCAAGGTCACAAAATAAGTGAAATGATGCTGAGTCAGCCTCCGACTTTTATGGAGGCTGCTGCCTGGGCCCTGGTGCTTCTTGAACCCGTGATTTTTTTTTCTCTATGCTATTTTGACTCCTCTTATAATAGTGGCTTTCTTTTACTTCTCCTGCTCCTGCAATGTGATGTGGGAGAAAGGAGACAAAGTAGCTGAGGGCCAGATGGAAGAAGGAATTGGTGATGAAGCAGATGCCAGAGCAAGACCCCAGAGAGACAAAAAGATTCCCCCGTTTTGCCAGGAAACTCCTCTCCTTTAATTGTTAAACGACTATGCCCATAGATCTTACATATGTCCACTTTCTTGGCTGGAACTAGCAAGTCTGGCATCTTTCTTGGTGCCTGGTTTCTGTCATGGGCTACAGTGTTCTCCTTTAGTGGGAGAACTAAAACTATCTGAGCACTGGGTGTCTCTCTTTTTTTATACCCAAAGTGGCAGGTGCAAATGGGCTGAGGATGCCCATATTTGGGTCTCTATGCCTTCCTGACCAGAGTACTTCAGATAATGGATTCCCTTTGTACCCCTGCTGTTATCTCATATGAATGGAATGAAAAGCGATGGGAAGAGTCTCAGTCTATCACAACACCCCATTTTCCCTCTTCTGGAATTGCTTGTGAAATTCCTCTTCTGGACTGATCGGGAGAGGGCCGGAGGCTATGCTGTTCCTAGCTTCCCGGTGTCACTCTTCTGTTGTCCCAAAGTACAGTGAAGCTGCTACTGCTGTATGGAGGTTGTTGCAGACATTTGGGATTAACACTGCCGTGTGGTAGTCTTAAAGGTGTCTCAGCTGTTCTGGAAATTCACACTCCAGTCTTTGAGCAACTGACCATGAAGTGGGATAGAGGCTTTCACCACTATTGTGACTTCTATCTTTTATCCTGATGGCTGGTTTCTTTCTTTTCCTTTTTTAATTTTTCTTTTCTCCAGAAGCTGCAGATGAAAAAGGGACTATTTCCTGCTTGACAAGGCCTAGTCAAGAATAAAAGTAAGACTTCTCCAAGGGAGCAGGCCATTCTTCCTGGCCTTTCAGATCAACTCGACAAAAAAATCAATCCTTTCCTATTGGTCTGATTTGATAACTATGACCTCAGGATACCTGCCGATTTATATAGCAGATGCACAGGCTCTAATAAGTGACCCGCATTTTTAATTGTGGCTGGCCAGCAAGAATAGATTAAGCCTTATCGTTCTATGAAGGAAGCTGAATCATATCGGTTAGGATGGCAAACCGACAGATGCAATTTAGAGACTATAAACTAACCTCAATCGCCTTCTCATAGATGCTACGTGTGTGGGTGACGCCATAAATTTCAGCTGCTCTCTTGATGTAGATGTTGTACATATCATGCTTCTCTGAAGGCAGAACAGCCTGAGTAGCTCGCTCATACACAGCCATGGCATGGCGGGCCAGCCCATATTCCTCCTCCAGCTTGGCATATAAGAGATAGATGGCTGCAAAAGGAAAATTAGAGCCAGATTTCATCTTCTTTCAGTTTCAGGTCAACAGTTTTCATATCCAGGCTTATTGTTGTGAAAAAGCACACTCTTGTTATGAAAAAGCACAAAAATAAGTTCTTGTCTGAGAATTTGCTTACTGATTTATCTTGCTCTCCTCCACTAAATGATGAAGAAATGAAGAGGAGTTCTAGGTCTATGGAGATTCTCAGTCATCCAGGTCATGGTTGTCCCAAAGCTGCTTTTACAAAAGGCAACTGGACTTTCTTTGTTTTTGCTTGAAGATGTTTTGCTTCTCATCCAAGAAGCTTCTTCAGTTCTGAAGAACTGAACTAAAGCAGCTTCTTGGATGAGAAGCGAAACGACTTCAAGCAAAAACAAAGAAAATCCAGTTGCCTTTTGAGAAGTCCTCTTTACCCAATTTCCAATGGAAAAAAAGCATTTTTGAGTCCTCAAGATCACCCACGTGATCCTTTTCAGGCCAATAAAGCGAGTCCATCCATAAGGATTATTTTTGGGGGATAGGAAGTTTGCTATACTCAACTACCGTCGAGATGACATGTCCCATCCAACCTTTCTTATAATCAGAATCTGACTGAGTAGGAAGAGTTTGTGACTCAACTTTTTTGCTAGAGAGACATTTAATACATACTTTTTGCAAATTTCTGGGGACAGCCATCCAGCGCCTGCTCAAAAAGATCCCGAGCACGCTCCAACTTCTTGCCACCATAGCGGTCAATGAATTTGGTTAGATAGGTGTTCCAGATATCGTAAACATTTGGCCACTTAAACAAGGAGATGCCTCTCTCGTACGCCTGCCAAAATGAACAGAAGGTACAAACAAAACATTCAGACTGTTTTGCAGAAGGCTCTGCCCTGTTCCCTGCTCACTTAAATACCACATGGGACTGTCCTACTTTGACTATAATGATCCATGTTTTAAAGAATAGCTTTCTTCCTGCAAATTGCTAAACAACCAAGAACCCCTTCAATCAGAGATCCTAGGAGCCTTCTACTCTATGGACTGCTAATTCTATCTTAGTTATGTTTCTGTTTAACATTTTCCAATTAAACAAAAAAACTGACAGCCATACCAGAAGAAAACAAAAACAAAAATTGGATTATTATAAACAATAGCTAAGAACAGCAAAGATGCATGGCAATTATATTGCAAAACACTCTGTCCCTGTAGCTGTCCCTACATCTAAGCCGGAGGTAGGCAACCTTGGCTCTTTTATGACTCGTGGACTTCAACTCCCAGAATTCCTGAGCCAGAATTCTGGGAGCTGAAGTCCAGAGTCATAAAAGAGCCAAGGTTGCCTACCCCTGATTAAGCTATAGTTTGCTCTGAAACACAGACTATTTCAACATAGAATATATCGGCTAGTTTGTTCAGAGGTTTGAGAAAGAGAAAGAGAAAGAAACTGAATACAGTAATTATCCTTTGCTACATACCGTACATAATAAGATCCTAGTGTACTGCAGCTGGTTTGGAGCTGCAGCACATTAGGCCTCTAGTATATCATCTGCACGTGCAGTCTACTTCTGTACACTGCATGTACCATCTGTAACATGCAATGTTCGAGGTTCAATGACTTCTACATTGATGCAGACCCAGATGGCTGAAGGAAGCACTGATGAAGCCAACTCACCTTGAAGCTCTCTTCAAAATATTTGTGCTCCTCCAGGAACAGACCATAGTTGATGATGATTTGTGGAGTGGCAATGCGTAGATCCAAAATGCGATCGTATACAGCCTTAGTAGACTAGGAATGACAAAGCAAAAAAGCTTCAATACTAGGCGGGCCCAGAACCCCAATCCCAGACTCTCATTGCTCACTTCCCAACTATGCCCAGATCGAGAGGAAACATTTAAATTTGATACTGAATGGCTTTGCTAGTATAACTTGCTGGGCTCCTCCCTCCATCTTTCACACTTTCTATCAGTGATATGATAGACCAGTGGTGGCGAACCTATGACACGCGTGCCAGAGGCGGCACTCAAGAGCCCACTCTGTGGGCACGCATGTTATGCCCCGGAGATGGCAACCATCCTTCTTCAAGCAGCTGCCCGCTAACTCGCCGAGGTCCCACATGGCCGGATGCATCCCAGCACGGCTAGTTTCCCTCCCCCCAGTCCCGTCCCTCCTGACCTCGCATGCTCTCCTTTTCCTGGGCACGACCCACTGCATTGCCTCCTCAGCTGTCGGCCAGCCGTCAAGCTCAGAGGCGGCTTCTCTGAACTGCTGGCAGCGGGCTGTGGAGCCCTAGAATGCGCCGGTCGAGGGGCCAGCAGGCTGTGGCTGCTAATGGACACCGTCGGCCCCCATGTGCTCACTGGCCTCTGCATCGCCTTGCCCTGCGACAATGGCACCCCTGACCTGCCTTCCCTCCCCTCACCCCGCAGGATGAGTCTCCTGCCCACTGTCCCACCCACCAGAGACCCTCTGGATCTCCCCCAACCCTGTCCGGCCCCACAGGAGTCCCTGCCCACGAGCAACATTGAGATGACCACGTCCACCTTGGCCACACCCACCCGGTGGGCCACGCCCACCTGGCACCCGATGATAAATAAGTGGGTTTTGAGTTGCAGTTTGGGCACTCGGTCTCTAAAAGGTTTGCCATCACTGTGATAGACGCTAAATGAACAGAAGTACAGTAATGTACTTACGGGAGACTGTAATTACCATTCTTCTTTAGCTACTCAGGGGAAAGAACAGATGGCTGTGCCAATAATTCTGTTCTGGCCCTACTGCTTCAATAGATTATTTCCAAGCCACACTCATGAAATAAGAGGGAAAGGGTGCTTGGATTCCTTAAAGAGGAAGAGTAAAAGAGACTACCATTTATTTTGGACGACTTCTTAAGTCACTTGCAAATTAAGAAGGGTAAGAAATATCTTGATTTGATTCTAAGCTGGGGGAATATTATGTTTAAAACATTTCATCTGTGCTTGGTTACAGGACTTTGTCCAACCTCATAAGGCCTAAAGAGACAAAAAGGGGAGGTTTCTTCTAGATGCCAAGCTTAAGCTAACAAATCTCTGCCTGGCAAGATGACCCGTTGTAAAAATTGCCAGGAGAAATGCCAGCTGGGGTAAGTAAGCAGGGAAGCCAACCAAGACCACTCACTTTGAAAGTGCCCAGACTTTCTTCCAAGTCAGCCAGCATGGACCAAACCTTGAGGGACTTATATACACGGTTCTGCACAGGCTCTGTGGAATCAAAATATTCTGCTTTCTTAGCTGGGATAGCTGTAGCTTTCTGGAGGGAGAAGAAATGCTGATGAGAACAGAGGAAGTAGAGCCCCTGGAGCAAGCAGTTTAAAAACTGTGTGTGTGTGTGTGTGTGTGTTTGTTCTGTGTGTGTGTGTGTGTGTGTGTGTGTGTGTCTATCTTGAATGTTTTTTGATACATCCTGTCGGCCCAAATATGGGAGGAAGAAATCTTTTGCCTTGTATCAGCTCAATCTAGAGCCACCCACAGGCAGCAGTCGCTACTGCGACACTATTTGTGTTTCCTAAATTTTTGGATTGCTAACGAAGAATTAAGGGGGACTGGGATAGCTATTTCAAGCTAATCAGTTTGAAATAGCTATCCCAGTCCCCCTTAATTCTTTGTTAGCAATCCAAAAATTTAGGAAGCACATATATATACATACATATATACATTTAGGAAACATATATATATATACATACACATACATATATACACACACACACACACACACACACAAGAATTCTGGCTTTCTGCAGCCTTGCTTAACTAAACCCATGACCCTCTTATTGTGGAGTAAAAAGAATCTTTGTCAGCTTCCCAGTGATCAGACTCTTTCAAGAAGATACAGACAGAGACTACGGCCCCTCTGTTCAAACCTAATCATTTGGAAAATGATTACAATCAAGCAACTTTCATTAGTAACACTCCAAAATGCACTCTCCCTTTTTGTTTTGCTTCTTCTCACCCTCAGGATACGCAGGGCTTGATCGTAGTTCTCATGCCGCAGCTCCATCTCACCATACTCGCACCAGACGCTGGCCAGTTCATCCACCTGCTTAAAGTTCACCTTAGTGGCCTTTTCAAAAATTGTCCTGGCCTGGTATAAGACAGGGAGGAAAAAAGAAATCAGAGAAAAGCTATGGGAGAAAAACACTCACCATGTCTTCTCTTTGGGCTCTGGTATGTAATGCAGCTGAAAAACAAGTCCCTCACAAAGTTGCTGGGGCCCTTCTTTAGAAATCCTATAACATTCCAGTACTGATTTGGAATGTTTTTATACAGCTATTGTGAAAAACCTGTAATTTAACTCTTAAGACACCGCTGCTGCGC